CTGATGCAAAAAGGCAATGCCCTTTGTAACTGCCTGTCTCATTTCTAAAAGCCTCTTTTACTAAAAAAGGGCTAAAAATTTTGGTGTACTTAAAGGTTTAAGCTGAGGAATGCTGTTGGGAAGAGTGGGTATGAGACCAGATATACAAACAGCTTCAAAGCCCTACAAAAAATTAAGGTGGATTTGGCAGCCATTAGCACATGTTTGGAGTTATGAAGTGTCAGGACTATGGAACTACTACTCCTTTTTAGGAGCTGTAACAGTCAAACACCTCCCTCTTAAAAAGCCCTGTGCTGAGGTATCATTCTTTGAACACAGGCTCAAACCATGGCCCCAAGCATCAAAAGATATCATGGCACCTGCAAGCCTTTCCTTTCAGAGTTGAGGTCAGCAACACGGCATTTTGAGGCAAAGTCCATTTCCAGCAAAGGAGATTTCACAAGAAATAGGATTCTCACATAAAAATCTACATATACATCTGTATTCCCTAATATTTGTCATTTCATGAATGTTTTGGGAATTTGGGAGCTCTGAGCTTCTGTGAGAGATCACTGCAGTTTGTAAACAAGCAGCTACTGATGGCAAGCAGTGTTTTGAGTTTCTACCTTCTTCTAATCTGCCCATTCCCAGGCTTCGCCACGCAGCTCTAAAAGACCTGTGGCAAGCCCAAAATTTTCACAGGAAATAAGGTGAGTATTGCTCCTTCACCTCAACATGTGCGCTCACAGAATGATATTTTCCTACAGGCTTGTGGACAAGCTTACAACTACCTGGACCTTCCTGAGCATAAAATATAAACTCATTACAGTAGTATGTAAGCATTTTCCATAACCACTTCACAATTTCTACATGCATTCCTTCAGAACAGAAAAGATCATCATCATTGGATGATGTCCATTACTTCTTTTCAGCACATCTAAGCATTTTGCAAACCCAGTGCTCATGACCCTGTTGTTCAAATACAAATTCTACTCTATAAGCTTTATTTGTTTAGTGATCTTGGAATCTCAGTCTTTTCAATAAAGACACAGCTATAGCAAAGAAAAATCCTTTTTTTTTCTCTCATTTTTCTCTCTGTTAATAATATAAACAATATAATTTGGCTTTCTTGTATATTATATCTACACTAGAGTATATTTTGCCTAGTAAAGGGAATTTAAAAGATATATGGGCATGTTTGAAGTGGGTGAATACTGATTTAAATACAGGCGGGGAAGGAGTTGGGGCAGGAACAGTATGCTATATCTAGGAAGGCATTTAGGAATGTCAACTACTACTGAAGTTAGGTCTTTTCTGCGAAAATCCACATAGTATTAGCAATGATGTCCAGAAAAAATCTTTTTTTTTATCTAATAAGAAGATGTAAGGGCCTATTCAAGAACAAAATTTGAGAGCTGTAACATAAGAACCAATTTACATTTCACTGTAAGCTATTTCATAGACCTATTACTGACTGCCTGCTTATGTTCCTTCCAATTCATTTTTATACTGCTAGTAAGTCACTTTATTTCACACTGGCCTTTCCTCCTGACACAGACTCTTTTTTTGATGCATGACACCCTGAATTCTCTTCTGTAAGTCTCTCCTGATAACCCTCTTTGCCTGTCCTTCCTATACAGAATTTCCATGAAAAAATAAAGCTATTTATAGGAATTTCTACAGATAGCCATGGAAAACATTAAATAACCAGAACCCTTTCTTGCTGTCTTTGTTCATACAGACAGATTAAAAATTTATTACTGAAATTTTGACTGTTTTCTGGTACTTACGCTTTCCTCTACTTATTTCTACTTCAGAAACTTGTATATACAAATATACACATATTTAAACTTACATCACATTCACAGTTGGAACTAGTTTTACCAGCACTTGTGGATCATCTCAAGGATCCATTGATATCAATTGAATTACACCATGTATATAACGTGTCTTAGCAACTCTGAGGATTCATTGCAACAAAGAACTTAAAATCTATATTTTAAATTAAAGCAACTGTAGGCTCATTTTTACAAGGCAGTCTATTGGGCAGTATTTGTGAGGCAAATTGAAAAGAAGTGTTGCAATTTCAACGTTGCATGAAGAGTATTAAAACTGCTTAGAGACTAGGACATTAGCAGCTGTCTGCAAACAGTAGAAAATGAAATCTCCAGTAACTTGTTAAGGACTCCATGCATGTTAAGCATTCTAACCACTTATATATGCTTAGAGAGCTCTGCTGGTACAGAAGTATATTTATCAGGATGAAAAAAATCACTCATCAAGAGAGAACTGAGCTGCACTGGTAAAAGTGAAAATACTGCACTAGGAGCTTTTAGCGACCCAGCTCAGGGTCACAGCCTTTCTCCCCATCAATGATGAACACAGCAAAATCTGTGTCATAAACAGGGTCTCAGGGTGTAACTCGCATACCACAGCCTTGCTTCAGGAGGCTGTGTTTGAGAATTACAGACCTATAGCCGCAGATTAAAACTTTGGAGGTAGAGAATGAAACCACGGCCTGTTAAAAAGGATACAGTAAAAATTAGAGGATATTCCATCCTCAGGCAGGAAAAGTCTCTTACTTAGGTGGGATTCAGCTCCAGATAAGACATGTAACACGTGAACACACATGTAACACGTGAACACATGAACTATGTGCTAAGCTCCTGTGGAACTACTCGTGCTTCAGGGCACATGCGTTTCAGGTGCTTAGGACTGTTTCAGATGCCCTTGCATATGCCTTATAAGCTCTGAGCTGTCATAATAAAAGAATGGGAGTGTCTCACAGATCTTAAGTCATTTTTGCCAATCCAGTATGGACATCTCAAGTGCCTCGAGAACATTTCAAATAGTGTAAAGCACCTATGTATAGGCAGTGGCATCCCTGTCTGCATTGGCACACTTAGGGGCATTTAGGGTACAATACTTTTGATCAAAGGCAGGTGTGTACCTGCAGGTGAACTGAATAGATCTGTTCACCAGAAGAAGTTGTGTGAAGTAGGTAAATCATCCTAAAGTTCAATCCTGTCCTTAGAGTTTGATTCAGTTGTCCATGTGCAATGTCACTTGAGATACCCAAGAGAACCAAACACGTATCACCAAGGCAGGCAAATATGACCCTGGACCTACCGCAGGTCTGTGTCTTTCAGAGCAGCAACTGGAGGTAGCTAGGGAAGTTACCAAACACATTACAAATAGCTTCAGATGCATTTCTATGGGCAACTGAACTGAGCCCTTTGAATACTCTCTTAACAATTATACAGGAACGAATCATAATTTTTTAAACAATATTAATTGTTACAAATATTGCCACATCTTATGGAAGCTTCAAGAAATTAAAACTTGCTCACAGTGGCTTAGATTATTGGCACTACATGAGATCAATCTGTTTCAGTCAATGTTTTTACACAAAGTTTAATCTTCTGCCGCTCTCCTCTGACAACGTACCTTTCTGCTCAACAATTAGTATTATGAGGCTTAAACTTTTACACGCCTAAGTGTCTGCTCAGGATAATGGGACTCAAGAAAGCACATGGCTGGTATATGAGTTAGTATATTGAGCACATGGCTCAATAGCATACTTCAGTACCTTCAGCACAAAAAAAAAAAAAAAAAGAAAAAAAGAAAAAAAAAGTGGCAAATGTATCTAAGTAAGTAGACGTTAGCTCTTACTAGAAGAAGACTATTTTGAAATACAGGAGCTAAAACTGGCATTTTTCTGAAAGTCAGGCACCTAAATTCACATATGAATATCAGTTCAGATGGCCAGATATTACACGGTTTTTGCCTGTGTCACTCCTTAAAGAATGTGGGAATTGGAGGTTGTGTAATATATTGGACCACTTAGGTCCACGGGTCATGGACCACAATCCCTTCATGGTAAGTACCATACAAACAGCGAGTAAAAAGACCACTCCTGACCTAAACAATAAATAGTGGCTATGTGCACAAAGTCTAGAGAGGCTAATGGACTTCTGCGGATCTTTCTGTTGATTTTAGGTACGTAATCCTTAGGCTTTAGAAGTTTTCTCTGGATGTTAAGGCTTTTGAGTTAAGGTATAAAGGACTGTCAAAGAAAGAATCAAAGGAAACAGTTATAAACAAACTTTTCACCTCTGTAGCTAGAACTGACTGCAAAACAAGATCAGGCTAGTTTAGTTAACTCAAAGGTACAGAAGTTTCACTAAGGTTCGCCCAGAGAAAGATGACAGATTAGGCTTATATGCTGAGCATATGCAAAGTAATAGTTTTTAGTGATTATATCATAAAAGAACAGACTTGCCATGGCATTATATCCATAGTCATGGTGAGGTTCCTATCTAGAGCTACAACACCCTTGCTTACTTATTGTTTAACATCTAAAATGAGGACAAGAATTATCCCTAATAGACTGGTCACCTGCTTCTCTTCTTTAGTCCCTTAAAAGTTATGAAAAATTGCATCACTGAAGTTCTTCTGATTTTGGTAAGTTTTTTAAAAAAGAAATTTGTATTACTTTTGCTAAATATTTATATTTCATTATTTTTATTCTTTTTTTTCTTGTATTCTATTTTTACTGTAGAGTGAACATTTTCATTACCAAAGAAGTTAAAATACTTCATTTTTATGCAGTTGGTTCCTTAATTGCTTTAGTTCCATGCTCTGATATTTGGGAATCAATACAGTCTTCAGCATCTCTAAATACCAGGTGGATTCAGATTTGTGTCACAAAGTTCTAAAGAAATTTGTCCGCAAGCACTCAACAAGGCAGTCGTAGATTTACAGCTGCTGTTAGGCAAACTTTACATCCTACAATTTTCTGTATATTATAGGTACGAAATGTAGGTTTCTACCTGAGAGAGTTTGAACCTAAAAGCCCATGAGGCTTGATCTGCAGTTATCTATAGACATAGGTAGGAAGATTATTTGTCAATGAAAAAATGAAAGTCAAAGGCAGCAGACAAAAGATGTATTCCAAATCATATTTCATCTAAATGAAATTAATACTCTTAAGTGAAAAAATATAAGCCACAGTTACTCACCTACGATGAGTAAGAAAACTACCACTGACATGTCCTGAGCCGTCACATCCTGGAGTTGGACATGACATTCCTTCCGTCTTCACCGACTTCCAAGAGAACTGTGAGCCATTTAGGTACCCATCCTTTTGCCTTTTGGCAGCTAGAGGACACCCTGACGCACTGCGATGGGATGCATATTTTCCAGTTATATGACCCTGACCATCACAACCAGGAACTGGACATCTGGATAGCAGATAGATGAGATAAACTTTATTGTCTTGCCATCACATACCTGGTAGCCTCTACAACAAAGTCAAAATAAACCCGACATGAAAAGAAAAGAACAATCATGCACTGCGGCCTTAAAAATAATTAAGATGCCCTTTAAGAGTAACGTTACATGCAAAACTGTATTACTATGAAAAACAAAACAAAACAAAACAAAACAAAACCTGTTCTTTGATAAACCATAAAGATGTTATCCAGTAGACAAAGTTACAGCTGTTGCTACGGTGCAATTGCAACAAAAGCAGTGAGATACAGGTTTGAAATGCAGGTATTAATTACAGTGAATATCACACAGGATTGAAATGCTGGCTACTAAGGTACATGCAGTAGCGAAATTGCCCATAAGAACTGTATAAGCATAAAATCCTACTTAGGATCATACTTGGTGCATTTTAAGTCTGTGTAAGGAATCTAAAGATGCACATGTTACATAGAAACAGAGTGGAGTATAAAGCGATCCTTTTCTATAATGAAAGGGTATTGCCATATTAAATATCAGGAGCACTTGTAGAATAGTGAGCACCTTTTACCACTCTCTGAATGAGAGTGTTTATAACAAACTATGTGCTATAACCTCGAAAGATCAATGAAAGCACTTCCATATTCATCTGATGTTTATCTTTACAGAGGAATTCCCACATGCTCACTCATAATAAAAAAATAATCGGGGTTAGAAGGAATACAATGACATCTTCAAAGTGAAATATTTTCCCCCCAAAATGGTGTTATTTCAGTATGTCACTACACACATGTCAAAATGAGTTGCTACATCTGCAAAGGGCAGCAAGGACTGATATCGGACTTAAGAGAAGCAGCAGAGAGGTAAGCATCTGTTCCTCTTTTTGCAAACAGCTGTCTAAGCAATATGTTTTTTAGCAGTATTCTTATATAGATAATCAATTTTTAACCCCCCAATAACTATCTTTTTCAGTGGATATGTTTTGTCAATGGTACGCAATGACTTTGTAGGATATTTAGGAAAAAAGGATTTAAGCAGTTTTTGAATTTCATGTGAAAAAGATACCCGTCATTGTTCTTAAATTACACAAGACCAAATCCTCAGCCAGAATAAATCAGAATAGATCTTTGATTTATTCAGACACTGTGGTCAATGTGGTCAGTGCAGATTTCCTTTGTATTTAGAGAACTATGTATTTAATTCAAGCTATGCTGTTCTGTTGATTCAAAGGAGAATATACACAAACCAGCTCTATCTTTGCTCTTGGATAACTGTAACACAGTAAAGTCTGTTTCTTAATAAAAAGCTGAATATATGTATATATATGACCTTATTAAACACTTGAAGGCATTTGACAAGATTTATTCTCACCTAATTGGCTCTTGATCTTCTTTGTCTTCCTTACTTTGTGCTATCCTGATTCCACTTTTCTTTGCTCGTGGACAGCCTGAAAGACTGAGCAAAAGAAAAAGTTTTACAATGCAATCTCTCATTCTCAGGTACAGTTTACAAGGAAAACACTTTCCATATGAAAAATGAGCAGGCCAGGTATTCCTGTCTGCTTTCCAAAATTAAAGCTCAAGTGATTTAAAGAATTAAAGACAGTTGGCAATGTACGACCGCAAGGGGGAATCCAAGCATCTCAGCTAGCGCGAGCAGGACGGGCCTGGAGCGCTGCAGCGACCACGCGCGCAGGCAGCCCCAGAGGAGCCAGGGAAGCAGCTCTGAAACTCGCAGCCTGTTAATCCCGCCAGCTGACTCAGCAGCAGCAGCCACGGGCCTCAATGGGGACAGGAGCCAGGAAGACGGCACGTCCTGTGTGCGTCTGCGAGGGAGTGAGGAATCGGCAAGAAAAAAAAAAAAAACAGGAGAATGCTCTGGAAGCCTTGGCAACACTTAGGATTCTCTAGAGCGGACATGGAAACCACCAACAAACCTTCTGATATGTCACCCAAGGATCCTATAGCATTGCTCAATTAAAATAGCTGTGCAGTGCCTTCCTGAGAAAGAGCTTTGGTATTTAGAATTCACCCAGACAAAAAGACTAAGATTTGGGGATAAGAAATGCTGTATTTAGCTAGATGCTGACAATGTAGCTTTTACTGTACAAGATGGAAAGATCCAGCCATCCCAGGATCTTATAAACTCACGTTTCCCTTTACATGAACTTATTATAGAAACCACTTAGTAACCATTTAGTAGACCTGACTTCACAGGTCATGACTTTAATAGATATCCGCAGATAAGAAGTGATTTTTTTTTTAAAGTAGTTGCTATCTCTGTCAAGGATACAAATATGTTTATGGAAAAAAAATGCTTATTCTTCAATTTATATGTTATTTCCACCTTAACATGTGGACATAAAAAAAAGAAATACAGAACAACACCTTCAAAATACTGACATGAGAGAGACAATATTGTTCCCAAAGAAGAATTGCTCAGAGCAAGAACACAAAATAGAAGATTAATTTTTTATTTTCAGCATGGTGAAAGGTACTTCCACGCTGTATACTAGGTTCTGTCATCAGGAATAAGAGACAGAAACAGTGGGTAGCAGCATTTTCATTTTTTTTGTCTCGTCAGAACCAGAGGGGACTATGAGAGGAAGTATGAGGAAAGACTGTAAGAGAACAGGGAGATGCAATCACAAATAGAAATCTGTGCTAATAAACAAAAAATAAAGCACAGACAAAACCAGAGATGACATGCTGTGAAGTCATAAACAAATCAATTAAAAGAGGAGCTGCTTTGGCACTTGATATTGGGACATGATATATTACTAGGCAACTTTTATTGAGATGACATTATAGCTATACCTGTTACTAAATAGAAAGGTCTTTGAGTCATTCTCTATATGCAAGACCAACTTCAGTGCACCTGCACTCTGGTGATTGGGCCTGTGCTCTGGTCCCTTTTTATTTCCTAGTATAAATGTAGCCTATTATTTCATTTTTTAAAGAAAGCTGTTTTTTATCCAAATTTGCAGAGTGCAAAGTACTGTATTTCCTTGTGCATAAACTGAATCTTCAAAAACCAATGCCACTTAAAAATTTGAAAATTTCTTTGAAAATGATGCTGTCACCATTTGTATGAACACAGAGGCAGGAGAAGAGTCTGAGGGTTTTGGATAAGAGGAAGCAGGCTCTGAGGCAAGGAGGCAGTTTGGGAACCAATGGGTCCATTGTCCTGTACAATCCAGATTGCCAGTGAAAAAGAGCGCAGGGGGCTGGACTTACTTACAGGTATGAAACTCCCTGTGGGAGAGCAATCAGGTTTTGCATCTGAAAACTAAATAGTTAATAGGAATATCTCGGAAAACAATACTTTTAGTAGGTGTACGAATGGGTATGTTTGTAGATGATGGCATTTTCATAACAAAATCTGAATTAAGAATTTCTGTCTTGACTAATGATTTAATGCTTTCTCCATATTAAATCAATCCAATTTTCACCTACTTATTGGTATTTTGATGCATCATCTTTTTGCAATAGTTTTTTTTATTCTGGCACTATAATTTGTTAGCAAATTCTAAGACCTTTCAGATTCTCTAAGCAGACATTGCAAACAGGCATCTTCTGAGGTTATGATTAATTCATTTTTCCTCTGACAGCAGATTTGCTAAGAAAACATGTCAAGGATTAGCCTTTAATTTTTTATCCGATAATAACCAAAAGCTACTACAAAGTAAACATATTATTTCTTTTTTATATCTGTTTAGTTCCCCATATATGAAGATAAATGACCACAAAGGAATGGTATAGGCTGATAAAACTACTTGCATACATTGAACAGCATCATGTAACTGCACAGTGCTAAGGCAGGGCTAAATCTGGCTTCACGTATGTTTGCTGTTGAGTAGACATTTTAAATGTACATGATACCTAGACATTTTGGCATCCATGTAAGGGAGAAGTTTGTCACTCCTGTGTTTCTGAAATTGGGAGAGCTGTGACTGTATCGAATATGAAACCAAAATGCTAACTCAGATACAAACAGAGGAAAAGCAATGCAAAAGCTCCATGTGGCGTTTAAAAATGTTAACTGTAGACATACTGGAGGTCTGTCATATTTAACAGTTCTTCTAGATTTAGCCTGTGAGTTTACTGCTTTTTAAACAGCACATATTTTGCAGGCGTTACCAGCTTAAATAATGGTTTTGGCAGAGATCATAAACTCTGCAGTGCTGGGCCAGCTCAGGGTAAATGTGAAAAACCTCCTGGGGACATCAAGGACTTTAAATGAAGGAGGTGCTATCCTTGCCCGGCTCCGTGTCAGTGCATCTGCAGGTAGCAAAGGACATGGTGCTGCTGGAGGCCTTGGGAAAGGGAAGTGAAGGCACATTGCCAGGATGTTTGCTGCCAATGTGGACACGGTGGCATCTTTCAAAAGGTTAACTATGTTAATCCCAGAGGACTGGACAAATTCCAGATCAGTTAATTCTGTAGTATTACTTTTTATATCTTTATATATACCAAGCATTCTGGTGAAACAAAGAAAAACATGGTCCAGCAAGAATGTAAGAGTGAAGTGAATTGAAAGCCCCACTGAATGGCAGAGCTCAGAGGATTCTGAGGAGTGGCACAAAGCCCAGGTGGAGGTCTGTAGCTAGCAGTGTACCCCAAGTCAAAACTGTTCAACTTCTTCATCAATGACCTGAACGCTGAGACAGAGTGAGAGAGAGGCAGAGACTCAGTAAGTTTGCTGATGATAAAAACCTGGAAGGCAGTGCTGCCATTCAAAGGGACCTTGTCGGGCTGGTGAGTGGGGTGGAGGAACCTCAAGAAGTTCAGTACAGGGAAGGAAGTGCAGAGTCCTGCGCCTAGGGAGGAATAACCCCCATGCACCAATACAGCTTAGGGTTGACCTCGTGGAAAGCAGCTCTGAAAAGAAGCACTGAGGAATCTTGGTGCACAAGACTCTTTTCAGTGGTGGATGGATGAGCGACTGGATGAGGGGGAAAGGACAGAAATTGAAACACAGGAAATTCTGTCTGAACCTAAGAAGAAAACTTCTTCACTGTGAGGGTGACGGAGCACTAGAACAGGCTGCACAGATTGGTTGTGGAGTCTCAATCCTTGGAGATATTTCAAAGCCTTCTGGACACAGTCCTGGGCAAAACGCTCTAGGTGACTCGGATTGAGCAGGGGTGTTGGACTAGATGAGCTCCTCCAACCTCCATTCCAAACTAAACTACTTTAGTTTAGCTTTTGTAATATCAACATTTACAGATAAAACTAGATAATATCCTTCTGCTCAGGACGGCCAAGTCCTACAGTGGTCAGTAAACAATGTCCAGAGAAAGAATATAAAATCAGAGCAGATATGAAATGACATTTCCCTGCTAACCTTGCTAGCTTTTAGGCTTTTTTTTCATTTGTACATTTTGTCTTCTGTGCTATATTGTACTGCACCTTCTCTCAATCATATGTTTCTGGTTAAACAGATTACCAGATGCATGAAGATATATCTGAAATAGCAAAGTTCAGGCATATCTGCACCAAGCATATTGTGGTTGGACTCCCTGTGGTGGTAGAAGTGTGAGCTGATAAATCCATGTTAAATATACATAGTAAAATGTAGCTGTAAATTCAACCCTCACTCACTTGAAAGTGTGATTTAATCACCTGTATCATGAAAGTGCTTTTAAAGCCTTCATTTTTTTTCCTTTTTAATGTTATTTGTACCTTTGAGATTTCATTGTGCTTTACAGAAAAGTTAATTGACATTGTGATATGTGTTTTTTACAGTACATAAAGGTATAAAAGATTCTCAATCACAGAATCACAGAATGGTTGAGGTTGGAAGGGACCTCTAGAGATCATCTAGTCCAACCTCCCTGCTTCTCAATGTTTACATTTTGTTTATATGTTGACTTTAAGCTGTTTCTGTCTCTTACTAGGAATACACTTAAACTGTTAATCGTTTAAGTCAATACTCAATTGAGTATTGATTAGTTAAAGTCAGTTGTAAATGTACAGGGACTTGTTGAGGCAAACAAAAAGATCAAGAAGATTAATATGCTTGGGAGTAAAGAGCCTTTGCTGCCAAAATGGAGGTGAGCTACCCTCCTAAACTTACAGTGGAGAGCTATTTAAAATACAGTGCAGTTCTTTACTGATTTTCAATTCTTACATAGTCACAAGGGCATGTGCTAATTACTCGGTATTTGTAACACTACCCTTATAGTAGTACCATAGGAATTTACTTTAGGGTTACCAAGAATATCCTGATTAGTAAGTGTGAATCTTCCTTTAAGAAATATGGAGACAGTCTACAAAGGATGGACAGGAATAATCAGGAAAAATAATCTGTGAAGAAAAGCTGCAGGAATTGGATTTTAGTCTAGACAAAAGTAAGGCTGAGGGAGACTAGATAAGTTACTTACGGTGTAAAGCAACTGAAGCTTATAAACACAGAAATGCTTTCCTGAGATAACAGGGAAGGGAGAAAAATGGACACATTGACTGCAAAGATTTTGCTAGATAATAGCAAAAATCTTCCTACGCATTTCAGTCGTGAGCTAGACTGAAATTGAGGAATGTTCTTTACAGGTATGTAGAACAAGTTAGACCAACATATGTCTGTATATAGAACTTGGTCTTTCCTCAGTGCTGAGAGAGGGAAGACGGATCTGTTGAGGCCCCTTTTAGTTCATTAACTGTTTCATTTAAAGAACAAAAACATCTCTCTGCATACCTTCGATGTGAAGCATAGTTTCCAGTAATATGTCCAGAGCCATCACACCCCGGCGTGGGACACCTACAATAATAATGAAAGAGATATAGAGAGGTGTTATCCATAGATAAGATACAACCATCCATTAAAAAACAATCATTGGCTTAGTCATCATTTCCACAGGTGCTAGCCCTAAGCTAAATCACACAAGCTTAATTACACATCAGAGACAAACATACTTTCTTATTTACAAGATGTTTTTGTTTGCTACTCAATACTTGCCTGCTCAAAAACTTTTAGGATACCTCTAGTATTGGTAGATTAGTGGAGACCTGCAAGGGCTAATCGGCAGCTGCCTGATGTCCGCTCACCACCAGAAATGAGTAGGGTTGACAGCAAATGGAATATCCCCATGACATATTCTTAGCTCAAAAACACAGCCAACATTACAAGTGAGCCGTTTTTTTCCAGGATGGGTATTGCTCTAATCCCTCTGCACAGTGTATGAGGTGTTGGTGCATCATGGAGCTATCCCTCCGCTTCTTCGTGAAGTGAAGAAAATATCTGAGGAAAAGGAATTGTGCTGACAGGCAAGTTATGTTGGCCTTTTGTAGAGAATTGGTAACCTATCACTCCCAAACATCCAAACAAGCTATAGCAATTGGACAGAGACATCACTGATACAATCATCAGTGGAGTTTCTAATAGCTGAATGATGTTAGAGTCATAGAAGAAAAAGGCTGTTTTCTTTTTACATGGAGAAAATGATTGTGATCATTACAGAAAGAACTAAGTTATAATGTTAAGTGAAATCATTAGCTGGAGTTTGAAAAACTAGACTAAACCACAAGGAGGAAGAAGAATGAATTCATATTTATTTTGGAGAACAGACAAATCCTATATGTAGTTCAAAAACTGTCTTTTCTTGAGTATTGGTTCTGAATTTTAACCATGTGTAACAGCTTCATTTCAATAAAGTATTCCAGTTCAAATATGCATGTGCACAAATTCAGCTATTGCATTCTGAAACATCAAATTTCCCCAACACTGAATTCTCTGAAGTCCAGATTTCATGCAGATTTTGGCTTTCAACCTATACCTTCTTCAAAGCTCTTGTTCACAAACAAGTAAACTCTTGTCTCACAAAGGCATCTAAAGAGACTTGAAAATTTATTGAAATAAGGAGTTCAAGCAATTTGAAATTCAGTGCAATGGGACTGTCATGTTCCATTATGCTTAACTTAAGCTCTTTAACCTAATTATCATTAGCTACTTCTGAGGAGAAAATCAGGGCCAAAACCTCAAACACGATTAATATAGCCCTGAAAGAGATAAATTAAACTAGAATTTGTTAAATGGAGTTCTCATATGGTCTTCATCTGGATCACTTCATTTTTTCCATAAAGAATATTAAAATAAGGTACCTACTTACACACATTCAGTATGTAAGTAGGTGAGATGTCTGGGATTCATTAGATCACAAAAGTTTCTCTTCTATATGACTAGCATACTAGGTATTTTGGAAGAGAAATCTGAACAACACCCTTAAAGATAATTCTCCTTTTCTCTTGCTTTATATGTTTCCCCTATTTGTGTAGTAAGCATCTGCAACAATGACTATCCATTACTGCATCTTTGCACACGTATAAGACCATGATGCTGAAGGTCTACAAGGTGCAATTCTTAACACCTTAAGAACAATATACAAATTTGGCTTCACACACTACTCTTGCTGCTTATAGAAAGATTAAAATGTGTTTTGAGATCTGCAGAAAGAAGTTCTATCATTTCATGCCGTGCTCCTTTACCCCTAGGTATCTGCAGTGTTCTACAAAAATTATATCCTGCCTCAATCAAAACTAAGTTTATCCCTGAGGCCTGAAGCTTCTAACAATCTGTATCAGAAGATATGAGAAGATAATCAATTAAAGGAATTGACTAAACTTCTGGCTTTAGTGGCCATTGTATTCAAATGAAGAAAAGAGATCAGAGAGATATCAATTTGTTCTTCTGCAATGTCTGAGATGCTACAAGGATTCCCTTTAATAGGGAACGAAGCTATCTGAAGACTCTGCAGACCATATCCACCATTTTCCTCTACAGACTCTTCAATCTTTCAAGGAAAAGCTAATATTGAAACCATACAATGTTTTTTTTTCTCATCATTTCCAAGACTTTTGCTATAGGCAGGCATTATTAATGGTATCTTAACAAACAGGATTTGAAACAGGATTTAGCTACTGTAACTAAAATCAAGTCTTAAAATAAGACCATTACAGCTCTACAATTTGGACAGTCTTACATACTTTACAAACTGGCCTTTTTTGTGTCATTAAAAAAAAATCTTATGCAATTGAAGGCAAAGAAGAAATCATCCTACTGTAAACTGATCTTGAGTATTCACCAAGGGCTCTGTACAGTTCACAACCATTTAAAATCATATGGTTTTGATCAAATGAGAGCAGTTTTTCTTATGTAGACTGGGATTTTATAAAGACCTTTTAGATCTTGATCAGCATTATATTTGTTTTCAAGTCTCATAAGCTTATTTCTAATCTAAAAGTAATGGTTGAAATAAGAGTTTAGTGCACTTGTTAAGAATGTTTTAAAACCCTAGAACATGTCTATTTATTTCTGTTCCCCTTCTATGGAAACTGCTTATAACCTCAATGAAATCTGGGATGCAGATATACAACATTCTGTTTCAACTACGAAGTTATCACAGTATTTATTTGCTATCCTAATTAGATTAGATAATCAGACAACTACAAGTCACTGTACCACTAAAACAGTGAGTCTACATTTTTGGAATGTCTTATCATACAGCTAGCACGTTCCCTGCTAGCCAGCTATCAACGGTTAGCTATAGACCTTTGAGTCGATCAAGTGTATGTGCAGCTAATAATGTTTGAAAAATGTAGGTGAAGGTGCTTTTAGGAGGCAAGTCATGTGAGACCCCTTGAAAATGAGTGGAAAAATTGATACACAATGTCCTCAATTACTTAAAGTCAACATAACTGGGCAGGATCAGAAGCTTATTTGTAGACCCTGAAGTTAGATGCTTATTTCAGCAAAGGAAATAGTTCAGCATTGTAAAAAGTGAAGCCACAAAGTAACTTTGAAGCCCAGTTTGGAACATATGACACCAGTATTCTATGTGAGTTCAGAGCTTGTCAATGGAGGGGAATGCACCTAGCAACTACTCGATGTCCCCTTCACTTCACAGAACATTCCTGAGGAGTCTCTGCAGGATAAGAAGCACATACCCAAAAGCAGGAAAGGCAAAAGCTGCGGCAGTGGGATTCAGTATCAGGTTTGGATTCAGTAGCAGATATGAAGAACAGGTAAGCACCACAAGGAGACAAATACACTTAAGCAGTGCCACCATTTTTTCACACAAGAAAGAACTGACAGTTAGAAAGGGCTTTCAAGCAGCTTGAGGGAATTTAGGGAGATTCTTGTGGGCTAGGGACGAAATGAAAGTAGTGCTCAAGTGAGATCTGAGGTTTCTCCAAATACCAATAGTAAAATGTCTGGCTGCAAGATCAGCAAAGGACCAAAAAAAAAAGTCACATCACTGTAGCAATTATAAATAAGATGCTCATCCTAGCTTGATTTCAAACAGGGTGTTACAGAAGGATATCAAGACAAAACCTGAGTTCTTTTCTCCTCTTATTGTGTATAGCTTTGATTGACTTATTTTATAGTTGATTTAAAAATATATATATCTCAAGAGCATAATAATACAATGGACACACTTTGCAATACTTTTTTTCTTTTTTTTCTCTTATTTTTTTTCCTTTCAGAGAGTTTACCTGACCTCTACTCAATGCTTGACTCAATCTTGGGCTGTCAGAGACTCTCTGTCAGAGATTCATGAATGTCAGTGAATTCTACTTCTGTATCAGTCAAATCTCTTGTCTTTAAGGTTTGACAATGTTGTATATAAAAATCCAACTGGAACCCTTAAACTAGAATTATACAGGCCGAAATTCAGTACAGCATACGAACACAATGTCAGGTCATAGAATCATAGAATCATCATGGTTGGAAAAGTCCTTCAAGATCATCAAGTCCAATCATAAGGTCTTCAACACCATCCCTGCTAAACCATGTCCCTGAGTGCCTCATCTACACCTTTCTTGAACACTCTCAGGGACGGCAACCCCATCACTTCCCTGGGCAGCCTGTTCCAATGCTTAACTACTCTTTCTGCATAGAAATTCTTCCTAATATTCAACCTGAACCTCCCCTGTTGCAACTTGAGGCCATTTCCTCTTGTCCTATTGGTAGTTATTTTGGAGAGGAGATTGACCCCTGCCTCACTACAACCTGCTTCCAAGTAGTTGTAGAGAGTGGCAGGGTCTCCCCTGAGTCTCCTCTCCTCCAGCCTAAATAATCCCAGCTCCCTCAGCTGCTCCTCATAATGTCTGTGCGCCAGCCCCTTCATCAGCTTTGTTGCCCTTCTCTGGACACGCTCCAGAGCCTCCATATCTTCCTTGTAGTGAGGAGCCCAAAACTGAACACACTGTTTGAGGTGTTCACCAGCACCATGTGTCATTTTAACACATGATTGCATTTTTCACTGATTTAACTTAATCACCAGAGACATTTTTAGCAAGTGTAACCAATAGAACTTTTCATCTCTTTGCTGCTCATCCCGCTTTCTCTTTCCCCTTCATCTATACCTTATGACAAAGCCTCTTTCTCTGCATATCAGGCTGATCATTTCAGCCCCACTGCCCTGTTTATCATTAAGACCTGGTTTTCACTAAGGCAAGGGCCCATTGGTGAAGTAGACTGTAGCTTCACATTCATTGACAAGTTTGGGCACTGTATTTTCTTCAGCTAAGCTCTTTGGGGATTAATAGTAGCCGCATGCAAATAAGTAACAATAGTCACTAATCAGTATGAAGGATGCCGTCAATTCTGATTATGGCAAACCTCCCCTACGTCTTATTTTTGTGCTGAGGAAACTTGCTCTCATGGAGCTGAATAAAACCTTTAACTTATTTCACATTGGCCATGCCAAAAGCCATCAGATAGTAATTCTTTCTAAGACCTGCCAAGATATCCTGGTGTTC